GGAGGAGGAGGAGGGGAGGGGGAGGATGGAGGAGGAGTAGGAGGAGGAGGAGGAGGAGGAGGAGGAAGAGTCCAGGGTAAGAAATCGGTCTCCTAAGCATCGGGAGGCGCGCGACCGGCGACGCTCGGGCACGCTGTGCGGGCAAGGCATGCGGGCACGGCGCGCGCGCGTCGCGGGCACGCCGCGGCGCGCGGGCTGCACAGTTTTGTCCGCTGTCCGGAGCAGGCACGGCACGGCACGCGGGCAGGGTGCGGCCAGCACGCGGGCGCCAAATATCACCACCCACCAGACCACCCCAACCCAACCCGAAGGTTCAGATTCACCCTCGATTTCTAGTTGGGGGAGGTCGAGAAACCAAGAAAAAACACGCGTGGAACCCTTACCCCCCCCAACCCGAAAATCGGGTGTTCGGGTTGGGTTGGAGTGGTCTGGTAGGTAGTCAAAATAGTTTGAATCGGCACGAACGGAATGGGTACAGTCGGGGCGCTGAAGAAGGAGCCCTTTTCGTTGGGGAGGGACTCCGTGCTCCTCGATGGTGTCACAGCTTGCCTCAGGTTCTCCTTAGGTTTTCGATGGGAAATCGAACTTTCACTGATTGGAAAAAGGGGCCTCGTTCCTTATTTAGGGTTCCTTAGGTCAACGTCCCGACTGTACGGAAAGAATGGGTACGATGCCCAACAGCAGTTCCTGTTCATTTTGAGCAGGGCTCGCTCTCCGCGCAGCCGCGGCCTGTGTCCATTTGAGACAGAAGGCCGTTTGCCCAACTGACAGCGGCCGCTGCTGGATTGGGACAACATTTGCTGTTGGGCATCGTACCCATTTCTTCCGTACCCATTTCGGGCGTTCACATTGAATCCTGCAGCAGCGAACATTGGTTCCTATTTCATGGCCTTCAGCCCATCCCGGCACCGTGCCTGGGTTGTGGGTCATATAGGCCTCCATGAGATTCGCTGGGACGTCGTGTGGGAGGCCTCTCGGGGGCCCAGTGCAGGCAGTCTTGAGGCCTCTTGGGCGCCGTGCTGGGACCTCTCGGGAGCCGTGTGGGGGGCCTCGTGGGCCGTCTTGGGCGGTCTTGCGGGCCTCTTGGGCCGCCCTGGAGCGTCGGAGGCTCGAACAGGTGAGAACCCCACAAGTATTGAGAAAAACTCACTGGGATCCATGATGTTGGCCTCTGGAGGCCCTCTTAGGAAGGCTCTAGGAGCTCTATTCGGGCCCCCTCCTCTCCTCTCCTCTCTCCTCCCTCCCCCCCTCCTTTCCCCTCCCCCCCTGGCCGGTGCTTTGCCGTCCACCCTCGCGCTGCACCGGCATGCCTGTGCATTGCAATCCGAGGCACGGCGATGCCCCGAGCGCTTGCACGCTCCTGCCCTGCATTTTTCCTGATCGCATGTGTTGTTATTCAGCTTGCCAATGCGCCGTCTGGGCGCGGCTTCTTTCGTTCGTTCGTTCGACGGCTTCTTAGACCATCTTGGAGCCACCTTGAGCGTCTTGGACTGATCGCGTAGTGATTCGGAACACTCGTCTGGTGGTCTCATGGAGGTGTCTTAGCACGCCTTGGGCCCCTCTTGGCCCCGAAAAAGCCATGCGCCATCACTCGGGGGAGCCCAGGGGAACGCGCCAAGCCCCGGGAGATTTGAGAGCTTGGGGTCCAGGCCCCCTGAAGACCTCCTCTCAGGAGTGAGGACTGAGGGCCTGCGGGCACTCCAACTCATGCCCGAGGGCACGGTGGCGGATAATGCAAGTGAGACCCCCATTGTATTCGCTGTTCGGGGACCTCGGGGACCGATTTTGAGCGGATCTGCTGCTGTTGTCTCGATTGGTCCTCCTCCGACATGGAGACGGCATGGTGATGAAGACCAATTTGAGAAGGGCTCGCTGCTGCTGTCGCTGCGGACGTTCCGTTGTCCAGTTGGGACGAAGGTCGCTTGCCCAACAGCGGTGTCGCTTCTGGACAGCATTCCTTGTTGGACATCGTATCGTAGATACACTTCCTTTTCTGGGCGAGCCAGAAGGTAACCATCCAAAGCGAGGTCAACGCACGGGTCTGGATGCGTACCACTGCACTAGCCATGTTCGCTCGAGCGACCTTTCTGACCCAAACTCAAGCTGTGGCTGCATAGCCGGCAGGCTGATTGCAGCGCCGCGGCAAGCCCGCCCGGAAGGAGGCCGTGCATCAAATGGCAGCATGTGTCGTGAAGACATTCGCCCGGTGCCTGCTCCTGATGCTAACAGTCAGGGAGGCCTTGGGAGGAAGTCTCGGCCTCGGGGACATCGGAAAGGCGTTCAGGGCTGTGAGCAAGGATCCCCCCAAGATGCTGCATGCCGTCGAGCAGAGGCTCGGCCAGGGGGATGAGGGCCCAGAGAGGCTAGTCGGGGACGCTCGTCAGGCGCTCACGGGCGCCGATGCCTCGAAGGCCCTGGACACCGCCGGGGGCGCGGCGCAGAACGTGTCGGGAGCACTGCCCGCGGCCTCCGCCGCAGTGAGCGGTGGTCGCGCGAGGGCCCGGCCGGGGCAGTCGACCACGGCGGAGCCGCCCGGTGACGGAGAGGCCGGCGGCAGCCGGGCCGCGCAGGACGCCCTCGGCGACGTGTTGCGGGGCCGGGGTTTCGAGGGCGCCGTGGGCAGGATGATCCCCGGAAGCTCGGGCCGAGCGAAAGGGGGGGATAGGGAAAGGGGGGGTAACGTTGTGTCGGGCGTGTCCCCCTACAGGAGGATTTTCTACGAGAAATAAAAGATACCCCAAGAATACACCAAAAAGGTCAAAAAATATTCAAAAAATACTCCCAAGGCTATATGTGGACTATTTTTTTTTACTATTTTTGGGGGGTATTTTTTTCTCGTCGAAAATCCCCTTGTAGGGGGACAGCCCCGACTTAAGGGTAACGACATTTGCTGCACGCAGCTGGTGTCGGCCCCGCCGCCGGGCCCACTGCTCGATACACTAGCGCTCCCCGGCGCCGGGAGGCGCCAGGGAGATCAGCCATACGTGAGCTGATGCTCAGACCCCCCCTCTGCCATCCCCCCCCCCCCTTTCGCCCGGCCCGAGAAGCGTGGCGGCAGCGGTGGCGAAGGTGCGCGGGGGCGGGATCGAGGAAGCCGCCTCCACGGTCTCTGAGCTCGGGCAGGAGATCGCCGACGTGCGGGTGAGGGCGGCGGGCGGTTCGGCCACCACCGGTTCGGCGGTGAGCCAGGCCGTGGGCCAGGCGGAGCAGGCGCTGGAGGGGAAGACGGCGAGAGTGGGCAGTTTGGCAGAGAAGGCGACGGCTGCCACCGCGAAGGAGGTGATGGATTTGGCTGGCGCCGAAAGCTCCAAGAAGCTCGGGAGATCTATTTGGGGGGATCTGCAGAACGCTGTCCCGAGGGTCGATGCCACGATTGCCAGTGCGAATTCCGCCCACACTTCGCAGAACATCGGCAAGAAGGAGTTGCGAAGTCCCACCGACGGAGCTGCGAGCGAGCATGGCGAAGCGGGCGTGGACGGAAACGTCAGCTTGGTAGTGTTGCTCGCCTTGGCAGGCTGCATCTTGGGTTTCATCTTGGGGGCCTACGTTTTTTTTCAGCGCGTCACCAAGCCCAGACCTGTCGGCATGGCCATGCTGAGCGGCGATCACGAGCAGGGCAACACTGCAGCAGCCAGCCACTGGATGGGCACGAGCGCGCGGGATTTAGTTCCCAATTCGCCAGGCGGGAACGATGTTCCTATCTCGCGGGATGCAGTCTCAAATCTCGAATGGCTCTCTCGTTCCTGAATTCATGCCCCAATTCATGCCCTTGGCGCTTCAGTGGCTACGCGGCGCACGGAATACACCTTGTGCGCGCGGCCCCTCTGGCTGCAGCCGTGCGCACGCTCCACCTCGCGAGATCACCCTTCTGGTCTTTCAGTATTTGTATCACGGCTCTCGTTGCAACACGTTCGAGGATTGGAGTACCAGGTAGTCTCGTCGCTTCTCTTCACAAGCTGTGCTATGAAGTACCCGTTTGTCATGCTCACAATCCGCTCGTGCAGTCTGTCCATCCCGCGGCCTCTCCGACGGTTGATCGCAGCGTCTCAACCCCCCTGCCTCCTGTCCTTGCCTCTTCGCTCTTCCTACCCTCCCACGGGCTCCCCTTCCTCGCCCCTCCTCCATCCTCCCTCCGCCCTCCCCCGCTCCCTGCCATGGGGAGGGGGGTGCTGTGGGTACCTGCGCAAGTCTGCGGCAGTTTAGCTCACGAAGCCACTTGGGCAGGTATAGGGCGCAGGAGAAGGATTGGTGGGTGGAGGAGGACGGTTTCGACCACCCTCCAGCTAGTTCTGGCGCCCTCCTCCGGCCCTCCCCGTCCCGTAGTCCCTTTTCTCCACCTACGCCAGCCCAACACACCGCAGCACACGCTAAAATACGTTCGGCAGTATCGAAGGCGCGCTCGGGCAGGAGGCTCTGTTCTTGTGTGGGTGTGCGCGCGTGGGCATTCCCAATCCACAAGACGGCTCGTCGCTTGGGCCGCGACCCGTGCGGCTCAGAGCTGCAGCCTGTGGTGCACAGCCGTGCCCAACGTGTTCTTTGAGCACGGTGCTCTTGGGGCGCGTGACCGCTGCAGCCGCGGACGTCGTGGCCACTCGCGGGTGAGGCACACTGAGCCTCACCGTTGTGTCCTTGGCGTCGCTCGGACGTGTGCATTTTTCCTTCGGCGAGGACCCGCGAGGAGCATCCTTGATCATTTGGGGGAAAAAGCCACGCACGAAATCGAAAAATGCACGGGGAATGGACGTCCGAGCGATGGCGAGTGTCTGGGATGCGCGGCCCGGCCACCACGCCAGGACTCCAAGCACCGTGCTGGCCAGGCGGCCCAACGGGTCACTTCCTGAGCAGCCAGGTAGAATGCAGTGGAGGCCCAGGCCAAGGAGCACCCCGATTGCCTCCCGAGTGCCCTGGGTTTCCTGGGTTTCGATGGTTCTGCTGTGGAAAGCGTGACCGTCCCACACCAAAGGTCCATGGGCGTCCTGCGGGTCTCAGGGCTCGGGTTTCTCGTGGAAGGTTTCCTGTGGCCGAGCCCCCTGCTGCACTCCAGGCAAGTCGAGCGATGCGAAACGGAGGGCAAAGGGAAACCCAAGACGGCGCGGCGCCCCGCCAGGGCGGCTCCACGCGGTCTGCGCCCGCACGGGCGAGCCGCGGTGGCGCAGCGGGCAGGCCGAGGCGGCCGCGGGGAGAAGGAGGAGAAGGAGGAGGAGGAGGAGGAGGAGAAAGAGGAGGAGAATGAGGAGGAGGAGGAGGACGAGGAGGAGGAGGAGGACGAGGAGGGACGTGGACGAGGTCGAGGGAGGATGGAGGAGGGAGGAGGGAGGAGGGAGGAGGGAGGAGGAGGGACGAGGGACGAGGGACGAGGCTCGAGGGACGAGGGACGAGGGACGAGAGACGAGGGACGAGGGACGAGGGACGAGGGAGGATAGAGGAGGAGGAGGAGGAGGAGGAGGAGGAGGAGGAGGAGGAGGAGGTGGGCGAGGTCCGAGCGCTCGCGCCCGCGGCTGGCCCAAGAGAGGAGGAGGAGGAGGAGGAGGAGGAGGAGGAGGAGGAGGACTGACGCTCCACGCTGTCAAGGAAAGGAGGAGGAAGGACGAAGGGCTTTAAGAAAGGTTTGTTTCGCGTACGAGGTCTGGTGGCTCGCAGAGAGTTTGTGATTCCGATCGTGTGACGGGTCGGGAGCCCCTGACCAGGGCCGTTCCATGCTCGGGCCCCCCGATGTGCGATCCCTATCGGTGTTCGCTATTGTGACAGCAGGTTATCCTAGCAGGCTGGTTCGCTTGTACCTTTTGCTCATGTCATGCCTACTGGGAAGAGGAGAGGGGAGAGATATTTTAGGAGATAGCTGAGATGGGCAAGTTCGGTGCGCTCGCGCTACATCTGATGCCATGTCTCTCAATCCCATCCTTTCTCACGGCGCTGGTTTCTCTATCCACGGGCGCGTGTGATAGCCTGCCTGGAAAACCAAAAAACGACCCCAGCGTGTTATACGCAATCGAAAAAGGGGAGCTGCGCACATAGAAGGAAGGGAGGAGGAGGAGGAGGAGGAGGAGGAGGAGGAGGAGGCGGGTGAGCAGAAGGATGAGGCGAAAAAGGAGGAGGACGAGGACGGAGGAGGAGGAGGAGGAGGAGGACGACGACGAAGGACAGCAGCAGCAGGAACTGGAGCGGAAGGAGAGGGATAACCAGGGAAAGCCGGATAGAGAAAATGAGGTGGTGACAACAATGAAAACGGATTCGGATCCGGAAAAGTGGCCCGCGCTTGGGCAAGAGCGCCATTCTGAACGTCGGGAGCCAAGCGCCGATCCGAAAATGAGCGGGAGAACTTTGTAGGAACACCGAAAACAATCGGATGGGGAAACACACAAGACACACAACACACACAAGACACAAGACACCAAAGCAGTACGCGGAGAGGGCAGGTTATCTTCCGGACCTAGTCAGGGGAGAGAGGCGAGCGTTATATTCATAAGGTGTTATTGCAGCGAGGAGGAGGAAGAGGAGGAGGAGGAGAAGAAGAAGGTTGATAGAATCCCCACCCTGCCAACATTGATCAGCGAATGTGTCCCCTGTCGACTCGCGGGGGCGCCGCGGCCGCAGCTTCTGCGGGACTGCGCCCGCCAGGTCGGGCCCCTGGGCCTTCTCACTCCGAGGAAGTCTTCTGCCGAACGGAGCGCTGCTCCTCTGGCACTCCCGCGCCGACCTGCATGGCTTGGGGGGGTCCCGTCCTCGTCTTTTCATGCCGTCTTTGTTCTCCTTCGCTTCATGCCTACAGTGGGGGGGGTCAAAAAAGGGTTTGACGGCGGGTCTGGGACCCCCCCCAAGACCGGTGCAACCGCGCCCAAATCCGAACCCCCCCAGAAGCATCGTTTGACGTTTCGATCTGGACCCCGCCCAAAGAGGAGTGTCTGGACCCCCCCCCCAAAGAGGAGTGTTTGGACCCCCCCCAGCGTCCGGTGCAGCCCACTGCTCGCTTGGACCGGCGCCGGACCGCCCCATGCTCAAACGCGCGTTGCTACAGGAGGCTCTGTCACTCGGAGGAGAGAGGGCCGAGGCCGCTGCGTCGGGGTCCCAGGGGGAGGAGGGGAGGGGGAGGATCAGGATCAGGATCAGAGCTCCAACGAGCCTCTTGTCTTGGTCAACTGCGGGATTGAAACCAAGGCTCGGAGGAAAAAAACACTTGGTGGGTTCAAGCTCAGGGCAGGAGTGCCTCCGAGGCTTACAGTCGGGGCCCTGAAGAAGGAACCCTTTTTGTTGGGGAGGGGCTCCGTGTTCCTTAGTTTCGGGGGAGCGTAAGACCCGGGTTTGCCGGGACTCGGGTTCGCCATTTTTTTTTGACGACCGCGACTCGGATTTTGACGAGGAGGAGTTTTGTGGGATGTCTGCAGCGGGAGGCCTCGTCAAAATGCAGGCTCGGCCTCGTCATTTTTTTGACGACCTCGTCGGGGATTTCCGAGTCCCCCGTACCCGGGTCTTACGTCTCCCCGATAGTTGCTTTACAGTGCTCCTTGGGTTTTCCTGAGGTGTTCCATGGAACATCGGAGTTGAACTTATGGGAAAAAGGGGCCTCGTTCCTTATTTATCGTTCCTTAGGTCAACTCCCCGACTGTACGCCAAATGCTAGGCTCCTGCCGCAGCAACTCCTCCATCTCCTGGGGGCGGCCGGGCGCCAGGCCCGTGCGGCAGACGACGCGGCGGCGAGGACCTGCTGGGACTCGGGAGGGGGGAGGGAATGGGGGAGGAGGGGAGGAGGAGGAGGAGGAGGAGGAGGAGGAGGAGGAGGAGGAGGAGGAGGAGGAGGGAGGAGGACCAGCGTTAACCCAGATGCTGGCGCCCTGAGCCCCAGAGACCCTCGCGGGAGCGCATTTACCCCAAAACGGGGCCCAGCAGGCGCGGGGGGAGGGGGCGCGACGAGGACGGCGGACAGACGGCGGCGACCAGCGACGACCCAAGGAGACCCCCAAGCTGCCTCCAAGAGGCTCCCAGGAAGCTCCCAGGAGGCCCAAGAGTGTCCCAGAGGCTCCAAAGATGCCCCCTCTTCCTCCTCCTCCTCCTCCTCCTCCTCCTCTCTCCTCCTCCCTCCTCCTCCTCCTCCTCGGGACCCTCCGTAGCCATTTTGGCTCAAGCGCCCCCCATCGAGCGACGCCCAACCGCAGGGCGGCGCCCGGCGGGATGGCCCCGCACCGGCGCGCCGTTCCCAGGCGGCTGCTGGGCGCGGGCCTGTGCTGCGCGGCGTGCGGGCCGCCGGTGGCCCGCCGCGGGCTGCTCGCGGCGCCGCTCGCGGCGCCGCTCGCGGCGCCGCCGCGGGCCTGGGCGGCGCCGTGGGCGCCCGCCGCTCCTGCGGCCCCGCGCGCCGAGTCCGGGCGCTACCCGCGGCCCAGCTTCGAGGGCTTCGGAGAGGTGCTGGAGCTGAGCTCAGAGCCGCCCGTGTGGCTCGTGCGCGACTTTCTGAGCCGCGAGGACTGCGCGTCCCTGATCGAGGACGGGCGCGCAGGCGTCCGGCCGGAGAAGGTGTACGAGGGCTCCTTCGTGGTGTTCGACGAGGACCGCCTGAGGCCGCTGCTGCTCTTGGGTCCTCTGTGCGCTGCCGCCACGTACTCGTTCCGGGAGGGCGACCTCGCGGCGGCCGCCCTGGCCCTTGGCGCCTTCGCGGGGGCCGTGCTGCTGCTCAAGGAGGGCCTGCGCTGGTACATGACCAGCGCGACCGCGTCTGGCGGCAAGGGCGGCGCGCGCTTCTCTGGGACCAAGTGGCAGCTCTGCCCTCCGCTCCCGGGCGAGGACCCGCGCGGCGGCGCCAGGGGACGCCTGCTGGAGCGGGCGAGGCTGCTATGCGGCGTCCCGAGCGTGAGCTGGCTTGTGCCTCCGACCCTGACGCGGTATAGGCGCGGCGAGGGCCAGGACGCACACGTGGATTCGCGGGAGCGCCCGGGCGTGGGGGCCGCGCGGGCCGAGCGCGAGGCCTTCGAGGCCCAGGGCGGCCAGAGGGTGCTGCAGTGCCTCGCCTACCTGAACGACGTGGACGCCCCGCAGCACGGGGGGCACACGTGCTTCCACAGGGGCACCCTGGACGGACTCCGCGTGCGGCCCGAGGCGGGGAGCGCCCTGGTCTTCTGCGTCTCGCTCGCGGGCGGCGAGGAGGACCTGCGGATGGTGCACTCCGCGGAGGCGCTCCGCGGGGACGTGGAGAAGTGGGTCGTGCCGCTGTGGTCGCTGGAGGGGCCCCACGAGGACTGGGCCGCCTGGGCCGACGCCGGGGCCGAGCCCGGCGTCGAGGGCGGCCGCGCGGAAAAGCAGCGAGCTCCATCATGAAAAAAAATCCTCCTCGGGACCCGAGGGGGAGGAGGGGGAAAAAAACACACACAGGCACAATTGATCGTGCCTTCCCCAGAAAATATGGGAAAATATCGGAAGTGGGGGGGAAGACAAAAGCTCCGACAATATGGGAAACTATGGGGAACGTTTTTATTTGTGTGCATTTATTTGTGTGTCCCAGGGCCCCTTCAGACACGAGGGCCCAGGGACCCGAGGGGGAGGAGGGGTAAAAGACCTGCTCGAAGTTTTTGCTAGCTAGTGTCAAAACCTGGCAGCTCTGAAGTATGACTTGGTATGTGGGGTGCCCTTTTCGGATCCCCCTCTTCTCTAGATACGCATTCACACACACACACACACACATCATCGGGGGCCTCACTCTTCCTAGCTTCCCAGAACTCGGCCGTCGGAGGAGGAGGACCGCGCCTAGGGGTACGTGTTCGGGGTCGCCGTGCCGTCGATCCACGAAGTCTCGTAGCGGCACTGGGGTCCGTCGATCCACTAGGTCTCGTAGCAGCTCTGGGACCCGTGTACGTCGATCCACTGGGTCTCGTAGCAGGTCTGGGGGCCGTAGGAGCTGTCGATCCGCTGGGTCTCGTAGCAGCTCTCGGCCCCGAAGTCAATGTTAGGGTCGGGGGTCTCGAGGGACAGGACGAGGTAGGAGTACGAGTGGAGGAAGACGGCAATGATCGATGAGCCCGCTCATTGCCAGGCGGGGGCACCATATCAACATCATGAATTGAACCGCTCAGAACACTATCAGCACTCACAATGTGTGGGACACCTCGATCCCCGCCATCAGCACTCACACCGTCGGAAACGCCTCGAGCCCCGCTCTCAGCACTCACAGTGTGTGGGGGGGGGCG